AGATACTTATCGGGACGAAGGTCGGCAGAAATTTTTTTTGGCAAACTGCGTACAATTGTTGCAGCAAACTCGGAGAGAGCGAGTTTGGCGACTAATTACCTTCCGTTTTATATTTAATTTTAGAAGTAAATCACTAAAGACTCGCTATAAAATGATGCTAAAAATATATTTTTTCAAATAATTTTTGAATTATTATTTTTTTTTAAAAAAAAACACTTTTTAATTTCTTCAAAGAATATGGTAGCTTCAATTTAAAATAAAATGTCAAAAGCACAGTTTATGTCCATGTTTTATGTCAAATGGGAGCAATGGGAATAAGAAGTGAAAATACCTTTAAATTTTGTATCATGATAATAAGCAACTCGAGTTTCCATGAACCAAAAATACAAGATCACGCCAGCAAACCAGTGGTCCGTTATAATCGCATTTAGGAAAAAAGTTGGGCGATTTTGACATTAGCCGTTTGTTTACATTTGTTTCTTCATATTCGCTTGTGACAACGTGTGTACAAATAAGGTAAAGAATAATTTAACACAACGACATCATGATTCAATAATACAAGGTTAGATAATTATTGACAGCTGCGGTTTGACACTCCCTTACAAAAGGTTGCATTTACGAAGGACGGAGAAAGGGGAAGAATGCAATCCCTTGTTGCGAGAATGGTAGTAGAAAAGTACGCAAAGTAGGCACTTGTAGTGAAATTCCTTTAGTAATTTCTAACGTATTTGCAGGAAATCTGGCATTTTAAACGAAATGTTGAACGTAATATTGATATATCTACGTGAATTACGTAATTTATGTGCTATTTAGCTGTATAAAAACTGCAAAATGACTTAAATTAAAATAAGACTACTATGTGATTGATGTAAACATCCATTGCTTATGTTTTCATCAGTTAAATATGCTTCATATGCATATATAAATAAACATATTGCACAAAAGCTTATACTTTTATTTCACACCAAAGCTACACTGTTTCCATGTAAATTTGCAAAGAAGCAACACGGTGCCACTGCTAAGGGAGCGGTGCGAGAGAGACAACTGTCAGTTTATCGAACCTTGTATTATTGAATCATGAACGACATGATTTATAGAAGAATTTGTATAATAAAAATTATTATTCATGCGGTCAACAATTAAGCGGTTTTCTTCGTTCTCTTCGTTGTTTACTACTTACAACAAAGATGGCGTCGAGATTTCGATAGTTAGAAAATTACTTTTTTCTCTGTTTCATTGGCGCGTGATCTTGTGTTTTTCGTTCATGTCGATTTTCCGTGTCTGAACGCAGCCTAATAAATTTGTTTACATCCTCCGAGTGCTGTCAAATAGAGGTGTCAAACTATCGATAGTCACACCATCGATACTTTTGATAGTTTTCAGAAAAACTATCAGGTTTGTACACGAACGAAATTAATAGAATTTGTAAAAATGAGCGAAAAATGTGGACCTAATATTGTGCTTTTATTCACAGGTGTCACTTATGCCCAATTCTTTAAAAGCTTACAAGAGCATGTTAAGGCGCGCCGGTTCTTTCAACCGAAAAATATCAGTGTTGCAGAGTTGGAAGAATTCCGTACACTTCTGCATATCTGCAATACTCAGCTTATCGAGCGTGGTACCCCTATTCTTTCCACAGATCTAATAGATTACTTTGGCGTATTGGATAAAATGCAGCCGGACTTCAGCCGATATTTCTTTTATTGCAAATGGTTTAGCCACTTTGGTGAATGCGATGAACTTTTCACCCGCTCATACACCGAAGAAGGTATTTGCTATACATTTAATGGTCTTAACGCCACCGATCTTTACCGCGAAAATACTTTTCAATATCAAAGAATGGGATTTCAGAACTTTTCTAAAAATATAATACTAAAACGTCCACTTAAGTGGTCATTGCAAGATGGTTATGCGATTGACAGTGGCATTAAATCGTATCCGGCGCGAGTTCTTGGTGCAGGAGCACGTGCCGGCCTTTTCATTGCACTACAAAGTTTTCGCTCAGAAGTTGACTACGCTTGCCGGGGCCCTATTCAAGGTTTTAAAGTATTGCTGCATTCCCCAGATGACGTGCCATTAGTTTCAAATCAGTTTGTGCGCATACCAATGGGCAAAGAGGTGCTCATTGCAGTTAAGCCTAACATGATAACCACATCGTCAGGTATTGCTGATTATATACCTCAAAGGCGTCAATGCTATTTAGAAAACGAGCGAACCTTGAAATTTTTTAAAGTGTATACCCAAAATAATTGCGCGCTAGAATGTTTGACAAATCTAACTCTAACTAAATGTGGTTGTGTAAAATTTTCGATGCCACGAACTTTGGATATGCCCGTTTGTGCGGAAAATAAAATCTTTTGTTATGATAAAGCGGAAGATATTCTATTACTACGTGAATTCCGTCAGGGTCTTAAGGAATCGCATTTGAATTATTTGGGTGCAACGGAATGCAATTGTCTACCGGCATGCACTTCGCTTGTATACAATACGGAGATATCACAGGGTAATTTCGATTTAGATGAGATGTTAAAGGCGGCTGGAGATACTTCCTTCTTCGAGGATTTTCCCGGATCTCAAATGTCACGACTCTCCATCTACTTTAAGGAACACCAGTTTATAACTTCTAAGAGATCAGAGTTGTATGGAAGAACGGACTTTTTAGCGAATTGTGGGGGAATTTTTGGTCTCTTCATGGGGTTTTCTATATTAAGTTTAGTAGAATTATTTTATCATTTATCGCTACGCTTATGGAGCAATATGAGACGTTTGGCCGGTCCACATTCTTCACCGATATTGTAAATACGAGAATTTTGCATTTCTCACATTTATTTGTTCATATGTATAAATATCTGTGTATATGTTCATATTTGCCTTGTATGTAGTATATGGTTGCAAATTTGTTTGTTTGATATTTTTTTTTAAATAAAACGTATGTGTGTATCTACGCGTTTTTATAATATCCAATATTTACTTTTGTCCAATTTTGTAATAAAGTAGTTTCCATAATTCATATTAAAAAAAAATTAAATGTTTTTATTTAGTTATCTCATTAATGCGAAACGACTGATGACTTCACGGAAATGCGTTTTTTTTAAAACATGTTACGTTAATTATCTCTTAAAAACCCAACTTGGAAAGAAATTAACCCCTATTTAAAACTCAAAACGTAATTTAAAAAAAGGGAGATTTATTGCACACTTCAGAATATCCATGAAAACAATTTTTATGTAATTTTATGTTCAAATATGTCATTTGTTTAGGGCACTTAATATCTTCTACGTACTTTGCGCTACGCTACGTGCACGTTAAATATTTACGTTAACGTTAAATATTTGTACGGCAAGTTTACAATACTATTCAATATTTCTAGTAACTCCGCAACCCGGGCACATGTAACGAGTGAAGCACCAATTTTCGCGCTCGTTTTTGCGAGCATAAACGAGCGAGTGGGCGATCCAGGAATTCGTCTCTTTTTGCCAATCGTGCGCTGTGGTGTGCGGTTCTGTGCGTCGTGTGTGCTTTTAATGAGATTTTACAATAAATATAGGAAGTAAAAACTTTCTCAAGTGAAAAATTTATTTCCAGAATTACTTGCTTTTCAAAAGATCAAATAACGAGTGTAAAGTCACTGAAACAGCAGTTTTGCAAATTAGTTCGTTGCTGTGACGTCCGAAAAAATTTTGAGAAGTGTCGAGTAAATATAAAAATAATCCTGAAAACGAAATCGGATCATGGCCGCCGACCAAGTACAATTTCAGCAGATCCTGAATTCGCTTTTGTCCACGGACAACGATGTGCGGCAGCAAGCCGAGGTAGGTATTATGAATTATATTAATCGTTTCCTGAATATTAATTTAGCCAGGCTATAGCTACGTTTACAAGTATGTATATGCATAAACATACTCGCTCATAATTTTTGCAACACGAGGCACGAGGAATCTAGAAAGATTTTCAATTGAATCAGTGACGCAGCGGTGCAATTTTCGTGAAATGGAAAAATGCACTCGTAAAATCATAACTGCGCATATTGCGATGCACTAAATTTGAAAATTGGTATTGGGTTGATCTAACAGGTTAAGATTACAGTTTTTTACTACTAATCTACATATATTATTCAGCAGTGCCTCTTTAAATTAAAGATTTGTAACCAATTCATTCCATCATTGATTTACCTGAAGGATCCTAATTGCGCTTTCATATGTACATACATGTATGTAGGTATGTATGTAAATCACCGAACATCTGTTTGTACATAAGTGCATTTTGGGTTCTTTGAATCTGCACTTGGCATTCGTTCTTGTACACATACTCAAACAAACATATGTCTCACCAACGAAAAGCCAACGACAACGAATGGAGGAACGTCAAAACGGCGACGAATCGCAAAACGTGTTTTCGTTATGCTTTACACGGTTTCGTTATTTTGTTTTTATTTTTCGCTTTCCTTTTTTAATACTTTCTTCCCACAAGTTACCAATTGGTTTCATGTTTATTGCCTTTGCAGAAAACGTTGGGGCGTTGTATGTTTGTTTTATTAAAATGTGCATGTCTGCCTTTGAAGCGGAGTTAATGGAAAGGTCACAAAGCAAATTTCGTTAAACGTATAATGAAGAGTAAACACAGTCTTGGTAATGAACAAGGGAATCGCCGCTTTCTGCTTGTCTTTATTTTCAGGGTGGAACATACATATTCAATCTTGGAAACGATAGAATAAAAATTGCAAATTTGTATATCGTCACCTGAAATGCAAAAAGACGTAACAACATCGTAACTGAAATGGGAAAAGTCGTGACTAATATTATTATTATTTCTTTATAAAATGATGGAGTTGTATTTCGATGAAATCCATAATATCAATCAAAAGTTGAATTTTGAATTTTTTATTAGTTACGACTTTTTGTATTTCAGCGACGATATGTATGTATGAATATTAACATAGTGCTTGCTCAGAATGGCATGAGTATTTGCACAAAAATTCGCAGTTGATGGAGAACGAAAGAAGAGAATACAACCATCATGGTGGTAGCAGTGATATGAAGATACATACAAACATACATATCGCACCCGATCTTCAAAGGTGACACAACTCAAAATTACACGTTTGTCAAAAAATGCGAAAAGCTATTTCTTAGCACAGGCTTATCATATGGACAAGGTTTTTCCAACAAATTATAAAAAACATTTCCCTCAGCTTTTGCTGAAATAAAAGCTCTGTGTACATTTTTAGCGTATAATTTAAAAAATGCCAAATTTTGAATTGTTTCACTTTTAAAGATCGTGTGCAATATGTACATATGTGTATGTTGTGTAGGCGCTATCGGTGACGAGAATTGATGACTAAGGTGGCTAATAAGACGAGTTGCAAATATGTATGTAGATGATGGCGATATGAGAAAATTGCATTAGCAATACATATATGTATATGTACATACTACATACATATGTATATATTTATTTTTAATATACGTATGCACATACATATATGTGTGTATTTGCATCCGAGTCCAACGGGCTCGTCGTAGAATGTAATAACTTAAAAAAACCATGTAAATACAAACTCCACAACGCAGAATTTTTCTGTAGCCCGTGGCGTAGAAATTGGCGTGACGTAAATTTTAATTTTATTTCTTCCTTGAACACTATCTATCACTAGTTTCTGCTGGTTAGGCGATTTTTTTACGCCAAAAATTTTGCAGAAGAGAGCCAAAAAAAGCGTGTTTGCTGCTAGTTCCTGTTAGTGAAATTTTTACTCATCGCGGTCATTTGACTATTTCAATTTATTTTTGCCCATAATAATAATAATATAATAGATTGGCGCTTACACATATGTTAGTGTTTGGCCGAGCTTCTCCTCCGACTTGTGGCGTGCGCCTTGATGTTGTCACACAAAGTGGAGGGACCTACAGTTTCACGCCGACTCCGAACGCTGTTTTTCATGGCAGAATATAAAGATAAATCGATAATTTATTTAAGATTTATGCGGATTCATCGTTTCAGTTTAGAACTTTTCTTCCATGTGGTTATTGTTGTGTTTCTCTATGTGGGAGAGCAACTGAGAAAAGTTCTGCACGCTTTTGGCTTGTTAACTCAAGGTCAAAACTTTTAAGTTCAGAACCAGAACGATGAGTGCGCCTTTATAGTACTCAAGGTGCTTAAATTTGACACCAAGCAGAATGGTAGTTGAATGTTAGTTTGGTTCATTGCTGTGCTCTATGTACCGTTTTGGAACAAGCAATGGGACCTGTATAATTTGTATGTATATTTTATTTTACACTTCAAAATCTAAGTGAAATCCATATTTTTTTCCTTCTACTCATTAGGATGCGTATAACAATTTACCACGTGATGTAAAGGTGACGCACCTTTTGGGCACCATCCACAATGGCCAACAATCCGAGGAAGCACGTCAGATGGCTGCGGTACTTTTGCGTCGCCTCTTTACATCGGAATTCACTGAATTTTACAAGGAGGTGAGTACGCGTTATATATATGTTATGGACAGCAGGGAAATAATTAAAACAAAAAGACCAAAGTGTAAAAGGCAGGTGATCTAGCAGGCACAGTCGATCGTTGTCAATTAAATAATAAATTTCTTTTCTGAATATATGAGTTTCCTTTTAACTTTTCTCTAATTCATATGTAACCTTTGCTTGAATAAACAATTTAAACCGAAGATCGGCGTTTATCCTTGACAAAAGTAATACTTCATTTAGTAGATAAATTATTTATCTTTATTATGACCATGTATCAAAGTGCTTCAGGAGCCAATTAGGTTTTTTTTCATATAAAAGTATGTATGTATGTATGTGTATGCTTATCGAGTTGCTTTAAAATACAAAAAGTACACTATCTATATAACCATTTGAAAATACATAATTCACTGAGTTTAAATAAATTAATAAGGCCATGAAAGTCAATAAAAGCTTAAATCCATATAGGTAAGAGCGTGTCACACGTGCCATGCGCTGTTAAATTGAGAAAAGAGAAATTTTATTTCGATGTTTGAACAGCCAGAAAGACCTCTCTGTCACATTTCAAAAATCAGTTTCAGAAATAAAAGTTGCAAGATGTCACTGCAATTGAGAGAGCGCAAATCGATTTCGGAAATATATTTCAACTTGCTCGTGCTGCACTATCAATCTGCAATTTGTCTTTCGGAAATAAAAAACCTCTTTCGAAAGACACTTTACATGCAAAGTGTGACTGCTCATATAACTGCTTTTTGAATTTCTCAATTTGACTGCCTTTTCGAAATATATTGCATTGTCACGTCTGAGACGCTCTATACATTCATATGTACATACATACAATTTTTTGTCGTGAAATATGTGTGAAATTCCTCAACATTTTAACGATTAAGTTGTACTCTGTTCACGAAATGCTCAAAACATGTTGGCAACATGATGCTTATTTAAATTTGTAGACAAATTTGAAAATCTTTCTTGAAATTAATATTTAAAATGCATTTTGGTAATATTCTAGCAGAAATTGAAGCGGTAAGACGTTCAAACGGTTCTCATTCATATTTGTATGATGCGGCCGGGCATAGAAATTTCCATAAATTTTTACATTATCGGCCATGCCATTCATATACGCATGATGCCCATACTGAGGTATTTTTTAATAAATAGATTTTTAGGATTGAATTATATATTTTCACGATAATTATTTGAATTGAACTTTCATCTTTATGTTTCTTTTGTGCTGAAATAAAACTTGTCAGAAAACTTTAAATTTGTTATAACTCTTATTCCTCGATAGCAGTAATATCTTTAAATATTTGCCAAAACTAAGTATTC